CTCAGAGGTCCTGCTCGGGAGTTTATCGTCGTCGTCCCTCTCCTGCGATGGGCCCTGGCTTGTCCAGCCTCGGGCGATGCCGCTGAATTATGAAATCTAATGTGTACAAGATATATCCAGCTGTCACGATTTGGTCCCCGTGTGTCACCGAGAGCGGGCCAGTATTACCGCCTGTGGGTCAGACGTAGCTGCAGTATTGCCACCTTTTGCACGGACCACACCACCTAAACCGGAGATATATGTGCTTATGTAAATATCATCCAAAAAAGAGTGGAGTGCTGACCAAGAGCGGGGGTAGAAGGGCAAGGGATAGGGGAAAGGGAAGCAAGGGGACGGAAGATACACACGTACAACATACAAACTTTTAAGTGAATTTATTACCTGTGGAAAAAAATGCAACACTCGCAGACTTACAATTTATTTTCTTGGATATTCAACTTCCTATATTTCCCATATAAAAACAAGACGACATTGATTTTCTTCCCTGAGACTTGTGTGTGTATGTGTGTGTGTGTGTGTGTGTGTATGTGTGTGTGTGTGTGTGTGTGTGTGTGTGTGTGTGTGTGTGTGTGTGTGTGTGTGTGTGTGTGTGTGTGTGTGTGTGTGTGTGTGTATGTGTGTGTGTGTGTGTGTGTGTGTGTGTGTAAACACGTTTATACACACCCCACAGGCACACACACGCACATACATAAACACGCACATACATAAACACGCACACACACACACACACACAGGCACACACACACACACACACACACACACACACACACATATAAATATATGTGTGTATGTATGTATGTATATGTATATATTTATACATATGTAGACATAGACATACATATGAATATGCAAATATATGCATATGTATATATTTATAGATATGTATAAACATACACGGTGACACATCGCATATAATATATATATATATATATATATATATATATATATATATATATATATATATATATACTTATATATACATATGTATATATATACTTATATATACTTATATATACTTATACATGTGTATATATCAATATATATAAAAGTACAGTTGCGGAATTATATTTCAGTACACTTGCTAGGCCAGCCTTTATACATCTGGCAACTAATCGAAGTAAACATGGCGTAAATAGTATTTTCGTGAATGAGGCTAAAACCCTAGGTAGTTTGTAGCAAAGAGTTTAATTGGCCAAATACAAATAACCAATTGGTGTATTAATGAATATTTTTTGGAAACCAAGTAAGCCATTTGCTCTTTCGTTTTCTTCAAGTAAGTGATAACATAACATGTAATATTAGATATCGTTGACTTTGTAGTGGGACAATTTTCAAATGCGATATCCTGGAATTGTTTGTTTATCGAAATGGCAATACCTATGGTGCGGAGGTGGCATTTCCCCCCTTCTTTCAACACGACAAGCATAAATAATTTTAGATTTTTATTTCATAAAACACGAAAAATGCTTCTTGCTTTACACATCTCTGAAGATTATGCAAAATACCTTTGTAAACAATCGTAGTTACACCATCTAGTAGCGCCTAATCGATCGATTAATGTGATAGATTATTTTTCTTTGCCAGAACCAAACACATTTAACATATAGAAAACCATACTACCTTATATTCATTATAGAATGTATAGATGCCTCATCACTGGAAGAGAGAGAGTGCGTGTATGTGAGTGGATGTGGGTGTGTAGCGTCTATGAAAATACGAAGTCAATACTTAGTGACGACCTATGAAACAGTTTGTATAATTCGTTTGGGTTATTCTGATTGTCTATCTAGTGCTAAAATCTGATCTTAGTTTGGGCTGTTATTATTCCATAAGTTTGGGGGTTTCTAGAGAGAGGCGCATCCGTAATCAAACAGTTAAGCGAGAAAATACATATTTGCTTGTTTCAACTTAAGCAACTACTAGCTACGTGGTTCCAAGGAGGGTGGATAGCAAATGCCTAAGAACTGATTCCCAATACATGTGTTGTGTTGATATCTGATATTTTGAAAAAAAAAGTCGTTCTGATAAAATAGTTGATCTCGCTCTCTCCTTTTACCTGTCATTTATCGAGATTTTCATTTTCCTCCTTTTTGTTAATACACGTCAGTTTACAATATATGTGTATGTGTAGATAAAATTGGCATGCCTGTCCTTTATCACAAAATCAAAGTTCTCATATGTAATCTTGATATGAATGTGAACTAATAAAATGAACATTTTTTTCGTCAGATCCAACCACGAATTCAATAAACATAAAACATGCTACTTTATAATAATATTAGAATATTAACTGAACGCAAAAGCGTGGCAGGGTTAATGTAGGCCTAATGTAGTGTTAATTTAGAATCTTTAATTTTATATTTCATGCACATTTTGAACCTCTTCTCGCGCAAAGGGCCATTCCATGTAGTTGATAATTTATGTGTGTGCGTATATATATATATATATATATAATATATATATATATATTATATATATATATATATATATATATATATATATATAACATATATATATATATATATATCTTTTCTTTCTTTTCTTAGAGGATGGGAAGGGAGGTTG